TCATAAACCATTATGACCTAAGATGTCTAGCACATTTGTTTTAACCATTAACTATTATGTGAATGCACAAATTGCCCCACCTTCTCTATAAATATTAAATAATGATACTTTCCCTGTCCATGTCGAATGTTGGCGTTTTGACCGCACAGCCAAACAAACACTATAGCTCCACAGCCTGCTGCCATCTGTGCCCCTCCTGATCATGCCCCCCCAGTCCCTTAGGAGAGGGACACTGGGACCCAATGATGAGGAACTCCCCAACCTTAGCCCTCGACTCGACTAATTTTGCATGGTCTTTTTTCCCTTCCTACTTCGTTTCTGTCCCTTCACCAATCCCTTCTACTATCTACCTCCTAAGGTGTGAGAGCCGTGCTGAAAGGATGAAAGGCTGAATGAGGGAGCCATGGGAACGGTATTCCCCTGCTTAGGCCTAGCCCTTACCCCTCAAGGGGACCCTGAGGGGTGGACTGTTTTTCTCCCCAACATACTCCAGGCTTACCATGGCCAATAATGAAAATATGATTCCAGTAACATCCGAAAACTAACTGACCTATATGGTAACCACATCCTTGCAGAACCCCATCCAACCCTCAATACTTGCACTGGAACTGTTTCTATCTCCCTAGCAATTTGCCCAATCTATGACAAAGATTGGTCAGATTGTGAATGAATCTTACAATCTTCTGTCTCCTTCCCAGTTTGGTTTTCGCCGTGCCCGAAGCACAACTGACCCCCCTGCTCATTTTGAGGCATATATTACATCCGCATTTGCACGCCATGAATCCATACTAACTATATTCTTTGACCTAGAAAAAGCATATCATACGACATGGCGGTACCATATTCTCCAACAATTGTCCTCTCTAGGTATACGTGGAAATATGGGTGTCTTCATAAAGTCTTTCCTCTCCCAGTGCACTTTCCAGGTCAAAATTGCCTCTGCCAGATCATCCTTCTTTCCTCAAATCGAAGGTGTCCCACAAGACAGTGTGCTCAGTACCACTTTACTCCTTCTTGCTGTTAATGACATTGTCTCAGTTCTACCACCAGGAGCTCGGTCATCACTATATGTTGATGATTTAACCATCTATGCCTCTGGCACATCAATACCAAATCTCTACCAATTTCTTCAGTCTGCAATCTCATCAGTGTCTTCCTGGGCCACAAACTATGGCTTCCGTTTTACCTCCAAATCTTTCTCCATCCTTTTCTCTCATACATGTGTAGGTCCCCTACCTCCACTTCTCTTATGTGTCACTCCACTTCAACACCGTTCCTCTGGCAAATTCCTAGGTGTCATTTTTGACTCCAAACTGTCCTGGCGAGACCATATTCTTTACATTAAAGAAAAAGGTCACCGCCGGCTCCGAGTCTTACAAACTATCCGACATATCATGGGGCTCAGATTGCAAAACTCTCTATCTTGATCCTCTCCACTCTCGATTATGGATGCCATATCTACTCTGCCTCAACTTTTCTCCTTGCCCATCTTGATACAATCCATCACTGGTCTTTGCTTAAGGTGCGTTTACACGATCGAACTATGTTCGACGGACAAAATCATTACCAACTAGGAGTGGAAAGCGAAAAGGCTCGCTGATGACGTCAGAAGCAAGCACCAAGTGGTGTACCGGACACTGTCCATGTTCGCAGCCTCGAAACGACACACACTGTCTGGTGTGGAAGTATACGATGCTGCCAGGCACAAGATGAACAAAGTCCGTCAGTTCACTAGGTCTCAATTGTCCTGTTAACATGGCCAGCAGTACCTCAGTCAAGGAGAAAAGTTGCCACTGGGACAGAAAAGAGACCCTGCTACTAATAGAACTGATGTGTACAAGGATAGGAATAAACGTGTCGCGGCCATCAATGAAATAACGGCGGGAATGAATAGAAGTGGATTATCTGTTACTGCTTCTGAAGTGAAGAAAAAAAAAAAAAATCCATCCGTAGTCAATATCGGCGAGAACTACGTAAACTGGAGAAATCAAAGAAGTCTGGGGCTGGTGCTGACGACATTTACACCCCCATATTGTGGTGTTTTGATGACCTTTCCTTCCTTAACGATGGGGACAGCAAGAGAGAATCCGTGTCAAGTATGAATAGCCAAGTGTCTCATGTGCCTGAAGAAGTGTGTGATCATGAGGTGAGTAAGTAATTATGCAAGTCATTTTCATTACCTTCATAATATCATATGCACTGTCACAATCAAGCTTTATTTACCTTTAAGTATGGGTCCTTAAGCGCATCATAGATGGCTTTGCACGTATCAGGAATGATTGCAGACAGACTCGGTTTTGAAATTCTTGTACTGTATTGAAGGGCACTGTAGGAGCACCCGGTGGAAAGGTACATCAACGTTGCTTCCAGACGTGCTGCAGGTGAAATGCTCTCCCTCAAACCTGTTATAACCAAGCAGGACACCTGTATAACCTTTTCCAGTAACTCGTAGAAAGTATTTGGATCCATGTGCATATAGTTCGTGAAGTCCGATTCATAGCCAGTTTTCAATTCTTGGAAAATGGTTGCATGGCTTCCCCTTTCATTTTGTTTGTGCAACCAGTCCTTGCACCATTCCCTTCTTGGCATCTCCTCCTCCTCCTCCTCCTCCTCCTCCTCACAGAGAAGAGTAATGATCATACTGCATAGTGCAATTTTTTTTTTTTTTTTTTTTTTTTTCCCCCTGTGTACCATGGTAGTGATCCACTGCACCAATCGTCCAAGGCCACACACTGACTTGTCCGTTGGTAACTCAGCCATTTATCACCTTCGGACATCACCTTAGAACATCACCTTCGAACATTGTCCACCGGTCTATGCCCTGTGAGCAGATTCGAAACGGTGGTAAACACCCTCATCTGCTACCACTGCCAGATCCGCTTCCATCGTTTCACATCTTATGACGTCATCCTGCTTCTCCTGTGATATGGTAACGATTTTGTGCGTCGAACGTAGTTCGATCGTGTAAACGCACCTTTAGCCCTTGGCGCCTTCCACTCCTCTCCAGTTGAGAGCCTGTACACTGAATCAGGCATACCATATATCTCTCCGATGTTATGCTCGATTCCACCAACTTCCCCTCACTAAACTAACTATCCCACGATCCCTACTTCCTACCTTTGCTGCTGCTCCACATTTACCTCCTTTCTCCAGTCCCATCTCAGACCTCTACCGTTATCTGTCCATTGTCCCTCCATGGCTTATACCTTACCCTCATATGTGCTCTTCTGTTTTCCCACCAAAATCAAATATTCTTCCTCCTGTCGTCCTTACCGATTTCCTCGACCATGTCTCCACTCATTCCTCCAGTATTCACATACATAATGATGGCTCCTAATCCACCTCCGGATTTGCAGTAATCTTCAACTCTTACTTACTCAAATACCCCCTCCCTTCTAAATCCAGTGTCCTTACTGCAGAACTGTATGCATTCCTTTTTGCCTTAAAACACATACATACTCCCCTCTTCCTCTTAGAATTTTTACAGACTCCTGTAAATCACTAAGTCAACAACACCAACCCCCTTGTTTGTAAGATCCAGAACGGTTTTATGCCATGTGGACAGGTAGAACAACCAGCCAAATTTTGCTGGGTGCCCAGCCACGTTGGAATCCCTGGCAATGAACAGGCAGATACTCTAGCACGCTATGCCCACATACCAACCACGTTTCTCACTTATTACCCACACTAAGACATTGTATAATCGATGGCAATCTTCTTTGGTCAAGCCTCCACACTAAAAAATTACATACTGTAAACTATTAATCGCATCCTAGTCGGCTCCACTTCATCTAACACTTATCGGATGTCAAGCAGATCCACCCCTGTGTTCCTAATGTAATGTTCCTCTTTCAGTCTCACGTTTTGAAACAGCCTGTACCTAAGGCCACTAGAACTAAACAAAACTAGTTATTTTTTCCCCGACAAGTGCAGAAATATTCCGACAAAGTGGCAGTTTAGCCTTGTAGGTGGGTTTTTCGCCCCCCACCCCCTCTATCTATGCCATTTTCTGGCAGGTGAAGTTTCTCTTCCTCTTGGGTAGAAAATTTGCAGCCCCCCCCCCCCCCCTAAATTTTAAATGCCCCTACGCCGATCATCCTTACAGTCTCACTTTCTGCTTTGACAACCTGTTTTCCTTCCTCAAACGCATACATCCTTTATTTAATCTAACCCCTTTACTCACCAACTCTTGCCCAGCTTTGAAAACTAATCACTAACTCACCCCCCTTTCACTAACATTTAGTATAGTAAAACTCCCAATTGCGTTGACAATTTACTTAACAATGCGTTCCATGACCTTGCATAACAGTAGGCTATTGCCTTTTTTAAAGTCCAATAATTTGCTAGCTGATGAGCAGTGCGGCAGAACTATACAGTAATGGCGTTGCCAGAGGGCAGATTTGGTAATGCTATAGCTTGTGTTTCAAGGTGTAACTGACGAGACAAGAATTATCAGGTCAGATATGGAAACTTAGACTTCTAGTAAGTTCTCCAAATATCAGGAGCTGTGAGGGGAGGGGGGGGTTGTTGCCACAAGCATTGGATCCTAGTCTAAACCCCACCATGGCAACAGATATGGTGAGCAAGTAATAGAGCAGACGCAAGGACCGTTTTATGCAATAAAGTGGAATTAGGTTAGGTCTAGGTGGTGCTAGGTCTATTCCTATACTTCGGATTCTAATATTTTTGAAAAGATACTTGCAAGTAGGTGCCTCATAGCACAAGAGGTCTTATAACATGGTATCCATTGGTTTTAGTGTCCTGCTAAACAGCAAATTAAAAAAATAATAATAATGTTTAGTAGTTCTCTGCAAGTTGAGAATTCAAGGTCGGTTTTGGGCTTTTTATCTAGTCATGGACTAGATAAAATTTAACCTTACACCCTCTTGAGTGTAGAGGGAGACAGTGGTAATGTTATTTGGTCAAGGCAACTTCTCCCCCCCCATCCAATAAGGTCCTGGCCATGGGGGTAGGGGTGTAAATGGGTACACTTGAAACCATTTTAATTTAAAATTATTTAATATAAAATTTACAGACCAGAGTCTTTACAGTATCAAAGCTTATTCTTCAAGATGCATCATGTCAAGTGCATGACCCCAGTCTGCGCTCTAAGCAAGAGCTTAGGAACTTTGGACTTGTGTCTGTAGGTGAGTGGGCAGGTCATTAAACATGTCTTGGGGTACATCATCTGCAAGATAAAGAAGGGGGTTTTAATACCTTCATCCAAGCCATTTTAATATACTTGCTAATCAAACATTAAAGATTAATATGTAAAAGAGACTATCACTTAAAAATTAAACCTTGGTAGATGCATGATAAAGCAGAGCAAGTCCAGCCTTAAAGGCAAGGCCATAAAAAAAGCGAGTGGTTAACCATGCACTACCCACCCCAGGATGCAAGTTCTTTCTTCATTAGGGTAGAGCAAGTACAGTAGAGGTACTAGTGTTCTAGAATTAAAGCCTTACCTGAACAAGTATACTTCACATTGGACCAAATAATTCGAGTTTGGGAGAAGCAGAAGAGACCTAGTCTGCCTCCTTTTAGGGTGTCGTCGTATATGTTTCCAGAGTCCATCACTTGGTTGTTACCCTGGTACAAGTAGAACCTCATGGTACCAATATCAGGCCGATGGTGAAGCTGCCAGCGGTAGGCCACATTAGGGGTCCACCCAATGCTGCCATCATGCCAGAGCAATTGTGCCTGAAAGAGCAACCATTAGCTATAAGCAAGTTGATTTACAACTAGTAAAATTTCAGCATTAGCTAAAAGCCAATGTACCTGGTTTGGCGTCGATGCAGTGACCCACAAGGCTTCCTCAAGTGCTGTGCCAGGGCCTGTAGCAGAGTCAATCAGCTTTAGAGCAACCCCTCGCTCTGCTTGGCCATGCCAGAGTTGTGGTCCCTTCTTCCACATCACAACGTAGAACTTTGCGTTACTCTGGTAGCTGTGGGAATAGGCGTGTTATACAAGGCCTGCTAGGTCTGCTTGGTCAAGTTTAAAGCTACACTAAAGCTAGCTACTTACCTGAATATAAAACCAACAAAGTCATCATCACCGACGTCTTCAATGAAGAAGGTTCCATCAAAGTCGACGTTCACAAGAGTATGATCACCTGGGGTTAATCTGGGGTTAATTGTGGCACTTAAATTAGAGCCCTGTCCTTAGGATAAAGTTTCCCCAACATACATACCCACTGCTATAGCTGGATCAGAGTTCGCGTTCTGATGAATTTCTGCACCATTGTCGTAGACAACCCATATTGGAGGAGTAGATGGTGATTCTGGGTTTAATGCCACCAGTTGGAGTTGCCTAGGAAATTGAAGGGCTTTGTTCAAATGGCTAGTCTAGAAGAAAATTTGTTGGCTTTGGATTAATACAGCTCATGCTCGCATTTAGTGGCCAAGCTGCTCTCACCTGAAATCTGTGGCATGCACATTTGGGTTTGCAATACAGTTGTCATCCGAATCTAAAATTTTGTCACCATCAAAGTCAGAGGTGCAGGCGTCTCCAATCCCATCCCCATTGGTATCCTTCTGGTCCGAGTTTGGAATTAGCAAGCAGTTGTCAGTGCCATCATTAATACCATCGTTGTCGCTGTCTGTATCACAGGCATCACCTGCACCATCACCATCCACATCCTGCTGGTCACCATTGGCCACATTTGGACAGTTGTCCACACTGTCTTCCACACCATCCCTGCAAGAGGCCGAAGTCAGAATGTGGGTCTAAGTCTGCATTATGTCCCGAGCAAATATTTGCCAAGAGCAAAATAAACCAAATCTATTAATCCATGCCTGTCCGAGTCCACATTATCGTCACATGCATCCCCTAGTCGATCTTCATCTGCATCATCTTGCCCAGGATTGTTATGCTGGGGGCAGTTATCACAAGAGTCTCCAAGACCATCTCCATCAACATCAGCTTGGTTGCTATTTGCAGTCAAGGGACAGTTGTCAGCAGTATTTAGCAATCCTGAAGGAAGAGAACAGACCTTGAGAGGCCATCTTGCCATGGGAGTAAAGTAAAGATTGGATATTAAATACAAGATGCAAGCATACCATCGTCATCAATATCACTGTCGCAATGGTCGCCTGTACCATCCCCATCAACATCATTCTGGCTGGGGTTGGAGACTACAGGGCAGTTATCACATACATCTCCATGTGTATCTGAGTCTCCATCTTGTTGCCCTGGGTTGGCTATTAGGGGACAGTTATCCTGGAATTAAAGTAAAAGTTTAATGTTAGAGTGGGACAAGAGTCATGCGAGAGCCTAGCGTTTCCTTGCTTTTGTCTTCATACCGAAGTATCGAGGAGGCCATCTCCATCAGCATCACTATCACAAGCATCACCAATACCATCACCGTCGGCATCCTCTTGCCCGGAATTAGGCCTATTGACACAGTTATCCTTGCGGCAGTATTTGCTCGAGCAGCTCAGTTCAGTGTCTGGGTAGCCATCAAGGTCAGTGTCTTGAGCGCAGTCTTGACCTTGACCAGCAAAGCCAACAGGACACTGGAAAGTAGCAAGACATGCAATTTATTATCAAATCTAGAATCCTTGAGGACCCCTAGGCATTGCAGTACTAGGTTCAAGTACAGAAGTGAATAAATTATTGCCTGGAGGAGTTGGCAGACTAGTCCATCACCAGTGTAACCAGCAAGGCAGGAGCAGGTTCTGCTACCAGCCGTATTGGTGCACTGAGCATTAGCATGGCACCCACCATTAGACACCAGACACTCGTCAACATCTGTGGAGAGATGCAGCCATTTTAAGAGATGCTTGGTCAGTTCATTTCACAAGCTTTGATAGCAAGCTAACTTAGGGATACAGTCACTAGGATACTTGCCTGTGCAAACTAGGCCATCCCCAGTGAATCCCGATGTACATGTACAGTCACGGCTGCCTGCAGTATTGCTGCACAGGGCATTTGCATCACAGCCACCGTTGGCAACCAGACACTCGTCCACATCTGCAAGAGTTGAAGTACCATGTGCAATATTTTTATGCAACTTGCATACTAGACAAGGTTGACAGCTATTTTATTTAAATTTTAGCATATAGATTTGGGGAGGAAGTTATGGAGGTCTTGCAATTTTCCAATTTAAGAAATAGTTTAATTACCACCTAATCAAGATATTGGGTTCAAGAAGCGAACCTTGGTCTTAGATCTAGATGGGATGCAAACTGGGTATATCTGCTATGCGTTTACTCACCAGTACATTGAAGGCCATCACCCTGGTAACCAGGATGACAGGTGCAAGTTCTGCCACCAACATCATTTGTACAATCTGCATTTGCATGGCACCCTCCATTAGCCACCAGACACTCGTCCACGTCTGTAGGTATTGAAGCAATATATTTCTTACTTGCAGCTTTCCTAGGCACTGGTAGAACAGTACTTGTAGACTATTATCTGTGTACTTACCTGCGCAGACTAAGCCATCCCCAGTGAATCCCGATGTACATGTGCAATCACGGCTGCCTGCAGTGTTGCTACACAGGGCATTTGCATCACAGCCACCGTTGGCAACCAAACACTCATCCACATCTGCAAGAGTAGAAGTACCATATGCAATATATGCAGCTTGCATAATGTTACACTATTATAAATTTAACTTCATGACTTCCTTCCCCCCAATCTAAACTTTAGCATAGAGGTTATCAATTTGCTTACAAATTAAGCAATAGCAGTTTAATTACCATTTAATTGAGATGGTGGGTTCAGGAGAAATCTTGAATATTTAACCTATTTTGGTATACCATGTAGATCAACTCACCAGTACATTGAAGGCCATCACCCTGGTAACCAGGATGACAGGTGCAAGTTCTGCCACCAAAATCATTTGTACAGTCTGCATTTGCATGGCACCCTCCATTAGCCACCAGACACTCGTCCACATCTGTAGGGTATTGAAGCAATAGTTTAAGGTTTTACCAGTGCCTAGGAAAGCTGCAAGTAAAGAATAGTACTTGTCGATTATGGTCTGCATACTTGCCTGTGCAAACTAGACCATCCCCAGTGAATCCCGATGTACATGTGCAGTCACGGCTGCCTGCAGTATTACTACACAGGGCATTTGCATCACAGCCACCATTGGCAACCAAACACTCGTCCACATCTGTTATTGGTGCAAAAGTAACCATTAGCCACCTTCATAATTCTTAGTGCACACTCCATACATTTGGCAAGCATGCTCACCATTACAGGCGAAGCCGTCACCAGTGTATCCTGCTAAGCATTCGCACCAGTAACTACCATCCGTGTTGGTGCAGCTAGCAACTGCAGAACAGCCGCCATTGGACACCGCACATTCGTCAACATCTGGAAATATAGGGTATTAGTAGAGAACCTTTACCATATGCAACTTTACTGTTGCCCAAGAGAAAAAATGCACCATCTCACCTGTACAAGCATATCCGTCACCATTGTAACCTGCCCTGCAAGTGCAACTCACACCACCATTAATGGTTAAGCAGTCTGCATTAGCATGGCAGCCACCGTTGTTTGCCAAGCATGGGTCTGAAATTTAAACTCATGTAGGTCAAAATTCTAATAAATGGTAAAAGCTTAAATACCGCCAGTGCATTCGAATCTAACCGACTAGAGTGGTCCTTGCCTACATTTACTGCAATTTAGATTTAAAACATTTTGGCCACTTAACAGCCTAAAGAACATGGGGAGAGGGGGGGCAAGCTCAGCTTTTAGTTAATCAAGTTTTAACCAAAGTCTATACCTGTAGTCTCATCAGGACACATGCCCTGTGGAATGCTGCAGCGGGTGAAGTAGTCGTGCAGAGTCATCTCGTGGTCCTCCACACATGCTCCCCCATCACCAGAATCATCAGCCTTCCACACGTAGCCATGGGGGCACTGGTAGCGGGCACGCTTCATCAGGCCACCAATAATCAGGCATTCATAGTAGCTACGGCGGTCAAGGGGATCTGGGAACCTGCCTTCCTCATAGCACACCATTGTCCGTGTGCAAGGATCTTCACAAGCTCCCGTTACCTCGTTGAACAGCGTTCCACTGGGGCACATGAACAGTCTCTGCAGCCACCCGTGTTGAAGAGAGATGCACGAGTAATATTCAGAGCAGTCTTCCAGATTTGCAAAGACACCAGGCCGTCCACAAGCTGGAAGGCTTGCTTGGTTGCGACACTGATTAAGGGTCTCGTCAAACACCATTCCGTCAGGGCACACGTGATCCTCAGGGATTGCGCCAGTGGAAGAGCAGCTGAAGAACTTCTGTGGGTCATAGAGATCACGGACAAAGGTGTCCGCATTCTGGCAGGTGCATTCAGCCGGAAGCCCTGGGTAGCACACTGCACCCCCAAAGGTAGTAGTCTTAACGCTGCAGGATCTTCCACTGGTGCACTGGCGGACAAAGGCCTGCCCTTTCACACACATGACCATGGTCCTGCAGTCAGCGCACACAAAGCCATCAGGCTGACCTTCACACAAGTAAGAGTACTTGGGATATGCTGTAGTAACACTCCGCTTACTTCGGGAGAGGCACTGAAAGAAAATTTCAGCATTACAACCAGATGCTGTATAGTCTAGTGGAAGCTAGATCGGCTCGCTTATATGCTAGTCCACTTACTTCCACTTCACTGCTACAGGTCCTGGAGGTGGTGTTGTAGAGAAATCCATTACAGTCGTCTATAGACGATTCATAACCCCCAGTGCCATCAGGTATGCAGTCGAAGAAACCATCACATGTATTTGGAATGGGGTACCTACCCTCCTTCAAACACTCTGTTCTGGGGTTTAGTGAAAGATGTCAGTGCAAGTTGAAGCTTTTAATTATAAAGGGTCAGGTTTAAACAAACTTTTCCTGTACTTACCCTTTAGTCGGCATGGCCACTGCCGTCCCAGCGACCACCTGAAGGGAAGTAATTTTAGTTACGATTAAACTATAAAATCCAGTGCTACAAGATAAACTTCCCATATGTTAAGTCAAATAGCTCAGAGCTAGCTAAAGCTAGGTATCCCCCCCCCCCCCTCTCTTACGAGGTAGAAATATTTTAAGAAATATACAGCCACAAAATTAGGGCTTCTACAGTTAACAAATCTTAACATTGGGGCATCATGCAAACCTAAAAATAGGCTCAACTCTTATATTTAGCTTGGCACCTAAGTTGCAAAAGTAGGAAATCACTTGCTGTTAGGGTTGTGCGCGTTGTGGCAATTTGCAGCACTTTTTTGCAATTTAAAGCTACTCTACAAGCTAGCGGTGTCCATCTCCCTCGATGGGTTTGAGGCCATCGAGGACGTTCCTCGAAAATAAAGGTCGCGATTTATCCTGTTTTGGAAGGGAGCTATGCAATGAAAGATCTGGGGTTAGTGCCATGGTCTGATCCTTGGTATCCATCGTCTTCTGACGAGGAGGATCGACATGTTGCCATCAAGCACTTTCGCTCATCACTTAACTATAGCCATCTCACTTGATATCTATATAAAGATCTCAGGATGTTACGAATTAACTTTTCACCTTGGGCCATTCTTACCCCAAGAATTATCGTAAACGACATCATCTTGAAGATGTGCTTTCGAAAGCGCTTGCTCAGCCATTTATAGTAATTGAAACTAGCAATACTGGAAAGCAATGGAGTCACGCAGTCAGGGGCCACTATATGGCCGCGACGATCATGCCATCTATACGCAGCGACAATTGTTAGTGCGCTCTTTGTTCTGATCTGTGTTAATCTCTCTTCTGAAATTCCTAGCATAACTTTAGTGGACATGGCTTAATCTAAACTAAAATGCTCTGGCGTAGCCTGATGTTAAGCTAATTATCATGGTCAAAAGTCACGGAAGTACAGACTGTAATGGTAATCAAACCTAGTGAGCCCAAACGAACATCGCAAAGACACCATGGAGTGCGATTCGAGTCTGGGAATGATAAGGTTTTAGACAATTCCATTTCAAAGAAGAAAAAAAAGAAAAAGAAAAAAAAAAAAGAAAAAAAAAAATATATATATATATATAATTTCTTTTTCTTTTTTGGGGGGGTTCATTTCCATCGATAAACAAAACTTGTATCTATCTATTCATCTTTCTCTTTCTCTATTTATTTATATTTTTACCTACAGTATATGCACCTCTTCCTTTCTGTCTCTTTTTCTTTGTCTCCAAGTATGGCTCTCTCTGTCTCTTTCTCTCTCCCTTACTCTCTCCCTCCTTCCTTCCTTACCCCCCCTCTCTCTCGTTGTTTGTGTGTATACATATATTACATATTTACACAAACACACACACACATGCATACATATATAAATATGTATATATGTATATGTATATGTATATTTATATATATTGCATATTTACACATACACACTTATGTGTGTATATGTATATATATATATATATATATATATATATATATATATATATATATACATATATATATAGATAGATAGATAGATATATAGATATATAGATATAAATATATATATATATATATATATATATATATATATATATATATATATATATATATATATACACATATACATAGATAGATAGATAGATAGATAGATAGATATAGATAGATAGATATATATATGTATATTTATACATACATATATATATATATATAAAAGGTATGAAAGAGAATGAGTATCTTCACAATACAAGAGATGTATTTGACCGGTTTCGAATTATATCTTCGTCAGAAATACGTATATGTATTTCTGACGAGGATATAATTCGAAACCGGTAAAATATATTTCTTGTATTGTGAAGATACTCATTCTCTTTCATACCTTTTCTATATTCGTCGACATGAATACGGTTCATATATTTATATATTTGTATATATATGTGTGTGTGTGTATATATATATATATATATATATATATATATATATATATATATATATATATATTTATATATATATATATATATATATATATATATATATATATATATATATATATATATATGAATATATATGTATACACACATATATATATATATA